GCGCCGAGGGAGCCAGGCCGGGCGACGCGGGAGCCTACGCTGAGCGCGGGACCCTTCCCGCCCGCGACCTCAGCGCCGCGTCCTCTGGGTCTGGACAGCAGGCGCCACCGACCAAGTTAGCAGATGGGGAAACTGAGGCCGGGGCGGCGGCTCAACGGGGCACTGTGCAGACAGCTTCCTCGCGGGTTAGGGGAGGGGGCGGGAGCAGGACACCGCGGGGCAGCCTCTGGGCGCAGGGGCGGTGGAGGGGAGGTCGGATGAGGACAGATGTCCAGGCTGAGCGGCACTGGGGCCAGGGGCTTAAGGAAGAGAAGTGGGTCATTGTCGCCGGCAGAGGAGGGTTTAAAACGCCCTAGTTTCCGTCCTCGCCTCCAGCCGAGAAAATGCCCACAGCGCCAGGCAGCGGGAGGAACACAAAGGCTGCGACATCAGCAGGTCAGCGTGCCCTCCCTGGAGGGGTGGCACGGGCGGTCCCTGGGGCAGGACTGGATTCTGTGCTGCCAATGTCCCTGCTGGGCAGGGCTGGGGAGGGCAGAGAGGGACGTGGACCTCCTCCCGGGTGGGGCCAGGGGCAGGATCCACCCTCCACTGTGGGCCTTGACCCCCGTGGGCCTGGGCTGCAGAGGTGAGGGCGCGGGGACTCAGGCCGGGCCTGACTGCCGCAGCCCGTTGCCAGGCCCTGAATGCTCTGGCCCCCCCCCAGCCCTGCCCTCTGGGATGTCCCTTCTGGAGCTCTCCGGAAGTCCCTGGGCCCTGTCTTCTAGGACCCGAGAGTGCTGGAGTTCCGCACAGGGTGCTGAAGCTTCCTTCCAGGTGGAGGCCGGCGTGAGCGATGGGAGGGGCGGTGCGCGCTGGGAGTGAGGTGGATGGCGGGGTGCTTGGGCACCTAGGCAAAGCGCCTGGCTGGCTCTTCCCACGCAGGTGTCTGTTTCGCCGGCTTGAAAGTCCTGGGCCACAGCCTGTGGGAGGGCAGGAAGCAGGCTCAGGGTGGGATGGGCACACAGGGAGGGGCAGCAGGGCTGGGCCAGGCTGGAAGCTGACCTGACCTATGGCAGCCCCAACAGTCTTAGGGTCTTAGGGCATGGTACCCCTTTGGACCGGGAGAGTGGGGCGGCCCTCTTTTTTTTTGTCTTTGAGACAAGGTCTTGCTATATATATAGTCAATGCTTTATGTAGCCCAGATTGGCTTCACATACAGGGGATCCCTCCTATCCCAGCCTCCCAAGTGCTGAGATTACAGCCATGGGCCACCACAGCTGGCTGGAGCAGCCCTTTTGAAGGTGTGACTCCAATAGTGTGGGGTGGGGGCAGAAAGCAGAACAGTTAATCCAAAATGAAGTCTGACTGCGGCTGGGAGTCACTGACATTATTCTGGGCCCCAAAAACAGAGTCACCACTGGCAAAGTCAGGGTAGAGCAGAGGTGGATGTTGGGCAGACAACACAGGAGCTGTTGGGAAGGCAGGGAGGCCCCGGGCGAGGGATAGGAAAAGGTGATGCCAGGAGCTGGTGGGTGTGGAGGCATTCGGGGTGTAGGGCCTGGCAGCAGAGGGGAAGGTAGGCGCAGAGGGCAGCAGGGTTCAGAGCGTAGAGCCCCTGGCTCAGTTGTGGTTTCCTTGTGCTGGCACTCTGGGTACAACCACAGTGATTTTGTTTTGTTTTTGTTTTTGTTTTTGTTTTTTTCCAGTACCAGGAATCGAACTCACAACCTCGCGCTTGTCAGGTAGGCACCGTGCCGCTGAGCTAAATCCCCAGCCCCCCAACCACAGTGATTTTAACAACAGTGCGGTGGGTATCCGCCCATACTCCCAGGCCTTCCCAGAGGTCACCTGCACACGGCTCCTGAACCTGCACCTGCCTCCTGGGTGTTTAAGTTAGCTTCCCCAACTCTGGAACACAATGACCGACACCCAAATCTTTTGGCTCATGATTACAGTAGGTTCAGTCCAGGATCTACCAGCTCCCAAGGAGGAACAGGATGGTGGAAGTGCATGGCTGAGGAAAGTGGCTACTCAACGAAGCCAGCAGGCAGTGAGAGAAGAGAGGAGCTGGGAAAATGAATACATTCTTCTGGGCCACACTCCCAGGGACCACCTCCAACCAGGCCCTACCTGGGAGCATGAGATGTTGGGAGGATGTTTTAGATCTAATCCATAACATTATACCTCTGGCTCCTAAAAAGCTCATGTCTACCTCCTTATACAAACTGCCCTTAGTCTCTAAGAGTTGCCCAAGTCTTAACAGTGTTAGCATTGCTGAAAAGGTCATCCAAAGTCTCCTCTGAGGCTCAAGGCAAAGTGTTAGCTGTGAAAAATCAAAGAGAAAGTTAAATATTGTCAATATGCAATAACAGGGCATAACCATTCCCATTCCAAGCGGGAGAAACAAGGGGATAAAAGGAATGAAACCACCCATAATCTCAGCCTCAGGGCATAGGCAGCATGTAAACAAACTTTTTGCAAACGTGTGACACAGCCAGCCTCTAGTCCAACGGCCAATGGGGTCCTTGTTCCCAGCTGAAACCTGAGCCTGGCCTTTGCTGTCTACATTCTAGTCTTCTGAGCTTTGACAAGAATCCCCCATCAAGCCCAGCTTATAGGATCCCAGGGCCTCTTTAGCCTGCATCTCCAAATCTTTCTATACTCCTCCCATGAACTGGTTCAGAGGCTTCTGAACCACTTGGCTAGGTATAGTCACAGCAACACCACCATCCTGGTACCAGCTTCCTGTGTTAGTCAGCTTTCCCACTGCTGGGACAAAATACCTGACTCCTGCAATTTAACAGAGCAGGGGTTTAATTTGGCTCATGGTTCCGTGGGTTCAGCCCATGGTTTGCTTGCTGCAAGGCAGAAACAGCATGGTAGAAGAGCCTGGCGGAGCAAAGCTGCTCGTGAGAACCAGGAAGCAAAGAGAGAAGGGAGGAGCTGAAGAGTTCCAGGTCACATTGCTACAGTGAGCTGCCTTTTGCCACCTCCTAATAGCATATTCAGCTATGGACTGATCTACAGTTGGTTCTCTGAACACACGAGACTTTTGGGGGACATGGCAGATCTAAACCATCACACCATGGGCATGCTGGGCAGTGAGCATGTGCAGTTGAGACAGGTTGGAAAGCTAACACTCCAGGGAAACCCTCCACCAGGGGGGTGCCAGCTGGAGGATGAACACTCAGATTTCTGGTCTCTCAGTGGGAGCATTCTAATTCCCAACAGCAGGCCATGTTCTAGCAGAATTGAGTACATTTTACTTACATCTGCGTGCTTTACTGTCTGTCTTCCCTTTCTTGTCTCATACCCCGCCCCCACTCCGTTTCTTAGGATCACCTTCTAAATAAACTGTTTGCACCAAATCCTTGTCTCTGGCTCTGCTTTTGGGGGAATAAGACACTGGACACTAACTGTATGGTTGGCATTTTTTACTAAGCGATTTTCACATCCATTTTCCCATTAAACACTCAACACTCTGAAGTGGCTATCACTCAACCAATTTTACAAATGAAGAATAAAGAACCTAAGGCAGGAGTGGGATTCGAACTTAGGTCTGTCTCGTTCCAAAACCCATCGCTTCACCTTGAGGCTCTGCAGCCTCCTGTCTTCTGAACATCTCTCAGCCTTGTTTCATCTGCAAAATAAAGGATGACCTCTTCACTTGGAAGGGAAGCAGCGACCCCACCACAGCCAGGAAGCCCATGTCTCCTCTGTTCGCTCTTCCTGGAATGTGGATCTGAACGCTGGAGCTCCAGATGCCACCTTGGGCCGGAAGAAGTCTAGACCTTGCCCTCAAGGAGCTACTCGTGTGGTGGGGGTGGTGAGGCCTGGAGACAAAGAACTAGAATAATGGAGAGACAGTGGCAGCAAGAGAGAGCCGCAAGGTGTAAGTAATTCCTGCTGGGAGGATCAGGGGACAGTCACAAAGGACGCTGCCTCGAAGTAAAGCGAGGCTTTTTTTTTTTTTTTTTTTTTTTTTTGAGACAGGATCTGGCTATGTACTGTAGTTCAGTTTGGCCTTGAACGCAACCTCCTGCCTCAGCCTCCCGAGGGCTGGGGTGCTAGGCATGCGCCACCACCCCCAGGGGCTTCCTTTTCATTTTTTTATTTTTGGATTTGACAGGTGGGGTGGAGCTGGAGCTGGCGAAGTGGGAGGTAAAATGTAAGTAAAGGTGAACTAGGAGCAAAGGCATAGGTGTCGCGGACCCGGGCTTGGGGTGGGCACTGCTCAGGCTTGGCAGGGAAGGGCTGCCGCGGGGGTGGGGGGAAGTCAGCAGGCGAGCGAGCCGTGCAGCCTAGGTGCGGCCCTGGGCGCCGTTACCCCGCCGCAGAGGCGAAGGCTGCTCGGCGGCGCTGCTTGCAGGTCCCCGGATGCGGC